TGGGACACTCATTTGGGACACTCTTGCGGGGACACTCTTGTGGGACATTCTTGTGGGACACTCTTAAGGGACACTCTTGTGAGACACTCTTGCGGGACACTGTTACGGGACACTCTTGTGGGACACTCCTGTGGGACACTCATTTGGGAGACTCTTGCGGGACACTCTTGTGGGACACTCTTGTAGTACACTCTTGTGGGACACTCTTACAGGACACTCTTACAGGACACTCTTGTAGGAAACCCTTGTGGGATACTCTTGTGGGACATGGTTGCAGGACACTCTTGTGGGACACACTTGTGAGACACTCTTACGGGACACTCTTGTAGGACATTCTTGTGGGACACTCTTGTAGGACACTCTTGTGGGACACTCTTACGGGACACTCTTGTTGCACACTCTTGTAGGACACTCTTGTGGGTCACTCTTTTGGGACACTCCTGTCGGACACTCTTGTGGGACACACTTGTGGGACACTCATACGGGACACTCTTGTGGGACACTCTTGTAGGACACTCTTGTGGGACATGCGGGACACTCTTGTGGGACACTCATACGGGACACTCTTGTGGGACACTTGTCTTGAGGGACACTCATACGGGACACTCTTGTGGGACACTCTTGTGTGACACTCTTGTAGGAGACTCTTGTGGGACACTCTTGTGGGACACTCTTGTGGGACACTCTTGTAGGAAACTCTTGTGGGATACTCTTGTAGGACACTCTTGTGGGACACTCTTGTAGGACACTCTTGTGGGACACTCCTGTAGGGCACACTCTTCGTACGAGACTTCCTCCAAAAGTCACGCTGGGAGACTGCAAGACGAGCGTTTCGTACGAGACTTCCTCCAAAAGTCACGCGTCAAGTCTCAAAAACGAGCGTTTCGTACGAGACTTCCTCCAAAAGTCACATGTCAAGTCCCCAAAACGAGCGTTTCGTACGAGACTTCCTCAAAAACTCACATATCAAAGTCTGCAAAACGAACGTTTCGCACGAGACTTCCTCCAAAAGTCCAGCGGAAACACCCATCAGAGCACACACATCGCGCAGCCCTGCCAAGCAGTTTCGCGAGTCCAGCCCCTCCAAACGACACCCGCTCAAACGCCAATCCCAATGCGACAGCGACATTCACCTCTACCACAACTCACAACCTCCCGATTCCCTGCGCCTGCCACGAATCTTTCCGCGTCCACACGTCTAACGCGCACAAAGTACTGCGCCTGCCACGAAATGTCACCTCCGTCACACATCGCAACCTCACGGTTCCTTGCGCCTGCCACGAAAATCCCACTTCCACACCTCAAAACCCGCACAAAGTCCTGCGCTTGCCACGAAAAGTAACAATGTCATCTCATGTGAGCTTCAACAAAATTTGCACCACACCACACGTTTGGAATGATTTCGACCTGTTCTGAGCACACTCCCATCCACCAAAATTTGCATTTCAGCTGAGACTTGTCACGAAAACAGAGCTTCGATGCCACACCCTGAAACGCAAATCCCAATGGCACGGCCACATCCAACACCCAAAAAACACGACTCTCCAAACGCTAATCCCAATGGAACTGCGTAGCAAACTGCGGATCTCACAAAACGCTGCGCCTGCGCAGTGAAATGCATCACGCTTCTTGCGCGACATGTCCTTTTCACGCAAATCACAATGGACTCGCGTCGCAAACTAACACGTGACACATCCACGCATAGTCACTTGCAAAAGCTTCCCCCAATGGCAGCGCCTTAGCGACCTACTGCGGACGGTTGCGGACGGTTGCGGACGGTTGCGGACGGTTGCGAACGGTTGCGAACGGTTGCGAACGGTTGCGAACGGTTGCG